CCAGCTCCCAGCTCTTCCTCACTCCCAGCTCCTCTGGCTCTCAGCTCCTCTAGCTCTCAGCTCTTCTCCACTCCCAGTTCCTCTGTCTCCCACCTCCTCCCTGCTCTCAACTCCTGTGGCTCCCAACTCCTCCCACTTTGGTCATCTCTCTCCCTTTCCCCCTCCTCCCTTGTCACTCCTGTCCTATTTGCCTCCTGCTCCACTCACTCTGAGCCCCAGGATCTTCCTCCCAGGCACCTTTTTGCCTAGGGGACCCCTTTTTGTACCTTTTTGCGTAGGGGACCCTGGGACCCTGACAGCTCAGCCCAGGGTCATCTTGGCTGTGTGACCTCAGCAAATCCCACCCTCCCGGGCCTTGGTTTCCCCTTGAATAAAATAAACAATGGCCTACTGGCCTTAAAGCACCCCCCCAGGTCCCATACACTGCGGTTCTGGGGAACCCCTGCCTGACCCAGCTCTGCGCATGGAGGGTAGGGCCCCACTGGACCTGGGGAGGGCGGGCCTTGGAGCCGGGTGGGACCCTCCAGGACCGCTGTCCCCACAGGCCCGACCACCACTTCCTGGAAGCTATCTGCTGCTTCCCCATGGTCTACTACATGGAGGGCTCCGTGGACAAGTAAGGCGTGGCTGGCCGTGGCTCGAGGGGGCTCCACACCCACCCCTCCCCTCCTCTCCTCTTCCAAAGTCTGGGGTGGCCCCGACTGCAGGTGGGGTGGGGGGCTGAGGTCCTCCTGCCTTCTGACCAAATCCCGGGGGCCCGTGGGTGGGGAGTGGGCCGCATCCTCAGCTACGGGCTCCCGGTCCCGCCACCAGCCTGGACAGCCTGCTGCAGTGCGGAATCATCTATGCGGACAACCTCGTGGTGGTGGACAAGGAGAGCACCATGAGCGCTGAGGAGGACTACATGGCGGATGCCAAGACCATCGTCAACGTGCAGACCATGTTCCGGTGAGCCCAGCGTCCGGGACTCGGCTCCAAACCAACCCACAGCCACGACCACGGGCCCCCGCCCTGAGACCCCCACAGCCACGACCACGGGCCCCCGCCCTGAGACCCCCACAGCCACGACCACGGGCCCCCGCCCTGAGACCCCCACAGCGCCACACGATCATGGGCCCTCACCCTGAGACCTCCCACAGCCACAATGGCCCCGCCCTGAGACCCCCACAGCCACGACCACGGGCCCCCGCCCTGAGACCCCCACAGCCACCGTGGCCCCACCCTGAGCCGCCTCCACCTCCCCCAGGCTCTTCCCCAGCCTCAGCATCACCACGGAGCTCACCCACCCTTCCAACATGCGCTTCATGCAGTTCCGCGCCAAGGACAGCTACTCTCTGGCTCTTTCCAAACTAGAAAAGGTGAGCAGCCCTGCCCCGTGCCAGCTGCCACGCCAGGAGCCCAGAAAGAGTGGGAGGAAGGGGCTCGGAGAAAGGGGGCCAGTGCCATGGGAGGCGGGGCTCCTGCCCCCTCCTGCTGGGGAGCTCAGGAGAAGCGGGGGGCCCAGCGTGGACTGGGGTCTCTTCATGGTGGAGCCAGGAGGTGGAGGCAGGGCGTTGCCCTGATCTCGTGTGGGGCACTGGGTATGTGGCCCGTAGCAGCCCTCCATCTCCCTGAGCGGGGACCGGGCCTGGCCGTGTCTAGAGGCCAAGGCCATCTGTTGTGGGATGGTCAGTTGGTCAGAACCCCCGTAGGGAGCCCTCAGATTGGTGGTTCCACATAGTTGGGCCGGTAGCTCTTAGTACAAGTAACACACACAGCTGCGTCCTTCCAGACTCCTCCGCTGCCCCGGCCGCTGCGCCCGACCTTGAAACAGGTTCACTGTAACCACTGCCTCCTTGTATTGACAAGGGCCCGAGGGCCTGAGAGGGAAGGAGCCTGCCCCGGATCGCACAGTGTAGCAAGTGGCTGGGCCGGAACTGGCTTTCCGCCCCGGGAGCTCCATGACGAGCACCACCCAGGCTCAGGTGTGGAACGCAGGGGCGCAGGCACTGTGGCTGTTGTCTAGATGTTTGGCTGACCCCAGCCCCACCCATTCCCCACCTGCTGAGGCTGGGGCAGCACCACCTTGTCCACACGGGGGCCGGCGCCCGGGCAGCCCTAAGCTGAGACCAGGGAGCGGGCACCTTGGTCAGGAGCAGCAATGCTGTCTGTTCCACACAAACCCCGAGCTCACCCGTCTGGGCTGAACTCCTCATCGGCGAACTGCTGGGGCCTGCGTCGCTGGAGGAGTGTGACACCGTGGAGGAACTACTGAGCCAGGCCAGGCCTGACCACCGACACCAGACAGAGGACACACACGGGCACTGCCTGCGACATGGACACGGCTTTGTCCCACCTGAACCTGATGGAGAGTGAAAGTGTGTTCCGGCCAGCCACAGACCAAGAGCCCATAGGGATCCTGGAGTTGGTTCTGCCCCATTGGTTCTGCCCCAGAGAGACGCGAGGAGGCCGGGCTGGTCAGCCACCAGGTCAATAGGGGCACCTGCCTCGGAGATGCCAGCCTGAGGCATAGGGGGACGCTCGGGCAGCTGGTCTCACCACAGGAGAGGGCTCTGTCTGCACTGCCCGCCACCCAAGGCCACCCTAGAGCCCGCCCTGCCCGGTGTCGGGAGCTCCTGGCCCCAGTCCCCGGCTCAGCCGGCAGAGGCGTGTGCTCTGCAGCTCGAACCGTGCAAGGGGAAGAAGTTTGCAGGATTCTGTGTTCAGGGGGCCGGGCCGCTCCCCAGGGCTGGGAGGACTCTCCGGATCTGGAAGACCAAGTCTGACCCAGTGTGGACCGGGAGGCTGCCGTGCAGTCGGGGTCCAGGTAGTCATCCTGGTGCGGCTCCTCTGGCTTCAGCCTGGCACCTCTCTGTCCCACAAGATGGCTTGAAGGTTGGGTCAGCAAGCCCGCGGCCAACACGCTCCTACCTGCCTTCCCACCAGGCAGCCATCGCCAATCACCCCCCCTCCGCCCGCTGTGGAGCCCCAGCTCCTTCCCCAGCTTTGCCGCCACCGGGGCCCTGTGCTGCCAGGGCGGGTGCGGCCAGCTCTCCATCTCAGGGCAGTGAACAGTCCTGGGCTCCAGCTCCAGTCATGTGGTTCTGCGGCAGTTGTGTGACAGGGACCAAGGAGAAGTCAGGACGCCAGCAAAGCCCCTGGAAGCAGCCGTGAGTTCCTCAGGGCTGACATGGTGCTGGGGTCCACGTGGGACAGACATCCTGGGCCCTGGGCGGGGCCAGGCATATACAGAGACGTGGGGCCAAGGGAAGAGAGGGTGCCGTGGACCACCTGACCCACCGCCCTCTGGGGAGGCTGGGATCTGCCTCCCTGGCATGCAAGGATCCTGTAGAAGGAACCAGGGCCTGCGCCTTCTCCAGCCTGGGTGACCTTGGCCCCAGCTTCCCCATGGGTCTCTCTGACAGGCCAGCATACGGTGACCTGCTTCCAAGAGGGACACCTGTGGCAGCTTCAGACCCTTATTTAAAAGACATTAGGCCGGGCGCGGTGGCTCAAGCCTGTAATCCCAGCACTTTGGGAGGCCGAGACGGGCGGATCACGAGGTCAGAAGATCGAGACCATCCTGGCTAACCTGGTGAAACCCCGTCTCTACTAAAAAATACAAAAAACTAGCCGGGAAGAGGCTGCGGCGCCTGTAGTCCCAGCTACTCAGGAGGCTGAGGCGGGAGAATGGCGGGAACCTGGAGCGAGCTTGCAGTGAGCCCAGAGATCGTCGCGCACTGCACTCCAGCCTGGGCGACAGAGCGAGACTCCGTCTCAAAAAAAAAAAAAGACATTAATGCCAATTTATTATTATTATAAATGTACATGTTTATTACATTATGTATTTTACTTCAAAGAAATGAAAGTAAAAAAAAAAAAGAAAAAGAAAAGTTACCCCAAATCCCTGCAGCCAACATCTTCTACATCCAGGCACAGTGGAAGGATAAAGACAGGATTCCCGGCATGACTCAGGAAGGAAAAAGGGAGGAGGTGGAGATGGCATACACGGCCATCGGTGAGATGCTGTGCCGGGCATGGCGGCTCATGCCTATAATCTCAGCACTTTTGGAGGCTGAAGCAGGAGGATCACTTGAGGCCAGAAGTTCGAGACCAGCCCAGGCAACATAGCAAGTCCCCATCTATACCAAAAATTTAATGGCCGGGCGCGGTGGCTCATGCCTGTAATCCCAGCACTTCGGGAGGCCAAGGCGAACGGATCACCTGAGGTCAGGAGTTCAAGACCAGGTTGGCCAACATGGAGAAACCCTGTCTCTACTAAAGACACGAAAAGTAGCTGGGCGTGGTGGCGCACGCCTGTAATCCCAGATACTTGGGAGGCTGGGGCAGGAGAATTGCTTGAACCCATGAGGCAGAGGTTGCAGTGAGCCAAGATTGTGCCACTGCTCTCCAGGCTGGGCGACAGAGTGAGACCCTGTCTCAAAAAACAAAGCAAAAGAATAAAACTATTATTAAGGATGCTGCTGGCGGGCTGACATGCATCCCCTCTTGAGGGCTGGCTCCGGAAGGTTCTCAGAGCCCCAGTGTGAGAAAGGAGCCTCCCCCCGCCGTCCACCTCCCCCGCCGTCCACCTCCCCCGCCGTCCACCTCCCCTGGTCTCCAGCACCCAGGACTCCTCTGCCACTTCATTGCTTTCACATGGTCAGCTTGTGTGATCCCTCCTCACCAGGAGCCTTCCTTCAGGCTGGCTCTGCCCGTCCCGGTGCCTGCACTGCTCCCTCTGACCGGGGATCTCATTCTCAGGAAGGGCTCATCCACCCCTGTGTGCTCCTGTCTTCGCTGTCACTTGTGAAGGGGACCTGCTCAGCCCCTGCTGAAGCCCTCCTGTCCCTCCAGGGCCGCCACCTGCCGGGCCTTCAGCAGCACAAAGAAGTGGGTTTCTCGTCCAGAAAGCAGGAGGAAATCTCTGGAAGGTCCTGAAACATCAGCTTTTTCCTTCCTTCCACGTCTCTCTCTCTGGCCCTGTCGTGGTTCTTGTTTCCTGTTGAGCGTTGTTCTGAGTAAAGGAAAAATTAAAATGGCAAGTCGTTCAGGAATTTCACGTTCATCTCCATGAAGCGCAGCTGGAATTCTGGATGCAAATCACCGTGATTGCAAACTCACACGCCCGTCGCAGCTCATCGCACCCGGTTCTTGCTCCAACAGCGGGAACGCCGCAGGAAACTAACTCCGCTGTGTCTCACGCCCCAGCCTTCCCGCCGGCCACTAAGGGCGGACCCGGAGGAAAAGGGGCTTCTGCCTGATTGTCCTGTCGCCGTCATTTCTTTTATCTGTGAATCGAGTTCTGGTTCCAGGGGGAAGTGTGGCCTCCGTGGGCGCACACGCCTGCCTGTGCACACTTGCTTGGAGGCCGAGCTCCAGGGCTGGGGCTGTCCGCTGAAGAATGGCCCGAGAGATGGCCACGGCCGAGTCCGGAACCCGTGGATGTACCATCTCACCTGGCAAAAGGGCCTCTGCAGATGGGATTAAGTCACGGGCCTCGAGATGGGAGATTCCCCTGAAGCATCCAGCAGGTTCACGCCATCAGGGTCCTTCTAGGGAGAGGCCGGAGGTCCCTGTCCGGTGGGAAGCAGCTGCACAGCCAGCTCAGAAGAGGGAAGAGGGAGCCACGAGCCAAGGCAGGCGGCCTCCAGGAGCTGGAGAAGGCGAGAGAAGGAGCCCCCCCCAGGCATCCAGCGGGAGCAGGGCCCTGCCGGGGCCTGGATCCAGCCAGAGACACTTCAAACTCCTAAATCCAGAACCGGGAGAGAGGAGACAGGTGCTGTTTTAGCTGCGAAGTTTGCAGTCATTTGTTACGGGAGCCCCAGGAAACTCACACAGCGGGTCCATTGTGAGCCTGGAGCACCGGGACAGGAGGCCAAGGACAGCAGGCAGCCCGATGCTTGCTCCTCCTCAGCCCAGGCCCCATGCGCCCTCCGACACCACTTAAAAAACGCCAGGGCGGGAGAGGATTATCAGGAGGATCTGGAATTTCAGGACAGCAAGAGCAGGGCACCTGACCAAACGCAGTGCCTGTGGCAGCCGCCGGGAGTCCGTCTTCTCATCAGAGCCCCACATCACTGCTCCCGGGCTCTTGCCCTGTGTCTGGGAAGATACAGCTGGTTCAGGCCTGCTGGTGTGTGCACACATGCAGACACACTGTACACATACACCATGCACACATGTGCACACAGGTCCCATGCACACACATGTATGGTGCACACATGTGCACACACAGTGCCCTCGCCTCCGTGGCTGCTGTGCCACTGAAGGGACCTCAGCACCAGCCCATCTGAGGCCCCTCCTTTCCCACAGAGGGAGAGAGAGAACGGCTCCAACCTGGCCTTCATGTTCCGCCTGCCCTTTGCCGCCGGCCGCGTCTTCAGCATCAGCATGTTGGACACGCTGCTCTACCAGGTCAGCTGGGAAGCGGCAGCAGGAGGGTGGCGCCTGGGTGGGACCCCCGTCACGTCCTCGGCTCTGCAGCCTGGTCCCCACTCGGAGGGATAGGCCTCCCTCTGAACGACCTTCCCTGGATTCCAAGGAGACCTGTGGGCCCTGTCCCTGCCCCTGCCCCGGGGATTTCTGGGCCCTTTTTGACCTGTGGGTGCCTGGCAAGTGCATTTTCTTAGAAAAGGTGTTCCAGAACTCTGCCTGTGGGTCATGTCATGCTTGGGTACCTGGTGGTTGTATGTGTGCGTGAGAGGGGCGAGCCTGTGGCCGGGGGGGTGTGGACCTGTGTCCTACGCCCATGCTCATGTGCCTCGCTGTGGCCCCCTCCCTCCCTCCCTGGCCAGTCCTTCGTGAAGGACTACATGATCACCATCACCCGGCTGCTGCTGGGCCTGGACACCACGCCGGGCTCGGGGTACCTCTGTGCCGTAAGTGCCCCCGGCTGGGCCGGGCTGGGGTGTGCCGGGCTGTCCCAAGTGGGTGGATGGGCACGTGCCCCTGATTCAGTGGCTGGGAGGCTCTGGGTGCTGCCACCTGCCCCGGCCGACTCAGGGCTCCTGCCCTGCAGATGAAAATCACCGAGGGCGACCTGTGGATCCGCACGTACGGCCGCCTCTTCCAGAAAGCTTCTGGCTCTTCAGCGGCCCGAGATCCCCATCGCCATCTACCGGGACAGCAGGAGGGCCCACGCTCTTCTTCCACCTCGGCAGGTTCTGGGGCAGCCCCCTGTCCTTCTGTGACCCACGCCATCCCCACCTTCCGGGGCGGCTCGGCGACCGTGGCAGCCCCTGTCCGTGTGACCCACGCCCCATCCCCACCTTCGGGGGGCTGCGCGACCGGTGGCCCAGCCCCGTGTTCCCGTCGTGACCCACGCCCATCGGGCCACTTTTCCGGCGGGCCTGGCGGACCCTGGGGCCAGGGGCCCCTGTCCCGGTGTGACCCCGCCCATCCCCACCCTTCCGGGGGCTGGGACCGTGGCAGCCCCTGTCCCGTGTGACCCACGCCATCCCCACCTTCAGTGTCGGGAACTAGATCAGCTTTGCCCCTGCCGGCAGCTCTTTCCATCTGGTCTGTGTGCCCACATGCAGTGCTTCCAGCTGGAGCAGCCACGACCCCTACTGGGGGCAGAGAGGCTCAGGGCAGGCTTGAGGAAGAAGATGGGCAGCCCCTGTGCTGCAGCCCACACAGCGGTGGGCACCGTGCCTGCCCGCCCTAAGCGTGTTCCATGCAGACCCCAGGCTGAGGCGGCGTAGGGGGCAGGGGCACGCCCACAGGTCCCAGACTGTGCCTATTTCCTTTGCAGCCGCACGACCTCAGAGCCCAGGTAAGTACCCGCTCTGCACCCACACAGCCTCTGCCGAACACCAGAGCATCGCAGCCTCACGTGGAGAAGCCTGCCAGGCCCCACCCACCCACCTACCCACCCACAGGGCCCTGGGGAAGCCGAGGCGGGAGTGGGTCCCGTGGATGTGTCGGCCCCAGCATGGCTCAGAGAAGGCTCTTGACAGTCACTCCCTCCTGCACTGGTGGGGAAACTGAGGCCTGGGGGAGTAGCCTGTGAGTTTGGACACCAGTTGCACCCCCGCCCCTCCCAGGCCCAGCCCTGGCTCCCCCAGGCCCCACCAAGGCAGGCAGCCCCATGCTCCTCTGGCCTGACCATCCAGCCCCCAGCCTCCCAGGCCTTTCTGAAGGTGCCGCCCAGGTGGGGGGCGCCCCGCCTCTTCCCAGCACCCCACACCCCACAGGCCCTGGCACCTCACATTCTCCCGGTTCGGGGCCTCCGAAGGGCGTGTTTGCAAGAGGGACCAGGGCCCATCTGCAGATAGAGAAGTTGGCACACAGAGGGGGTGACCCCCCCAGGGCAAGGCCAAGATGTCCTGGGGTCCAGATGGGTCCCCAGCCGGACCCACAGAAAGAAGGGCCCAGAGAGGTGAAGGGAGCTGCCCTCAGTAGCCTGGCGAATCCCTTGACCAGGCCCGGGCAGGGCGGGTGGCCCGGCAGTCTGAGCTCAGAAGGAAACCTCGGACCAGGCACGTTCTTTCCAGAGGAGGGAGGCACATGCACCCTGGGGTCTGTCCTTGCCCTCTTCCCTGACACCCCCAGCCACTCCCACTCGGGTCCCAAGCCCCAGAGCCCACACCTCCTCCTAAGCCCCTGCCCCAAAGCCCATGCCCCTCCCAGCAGCCTCACCCCTCCCCGCCCTACCCAGTCCCAGATCTCGGTGAACATGGAGGACTGTGAGGACACACGGGAAGCGAGGGGGCCCTGGGGCTCGCGCGCTGGCACCGGAGGCAGCTCCCACGGCCGACACACGGGCGGCAGTGACCCCGCGGAGCACCGGCTGCTGCGGCATAAGAGTCTGCAGTGGGCCCGGAGGCTGAGCCGCAAGGGACCCAAGCAGGCAGGCCGGGCGGCGGCCGCGGAGTGGATCAGCCAGCAGCGCCTCAGCCTGTACCGGCGCTCTGAGCGCCAGGAGCTCTCCGAGCTGGTGAAGAACCGCATGAAACACCTGGGCCTGCCCACCACCGGCTACGGTAAGGGCGCCCAGCGTGGGTGGGGGCAGGACGGACAGACTGGGCCAGGAACAGTCGGCCATGGCATCCCGGGGCCTGGGCAATCCTGTCAGTCAGCCTTTCTGGCCATGCGCTGCCTGCCCCTACTGTGGGGTCAGCTGTGGGCACCACCACCACGGCCCAGCAGAGATCCTGTGCAGAGAAGGGTGGAGGAGGGGAGTGGCCATGGCCCACCCTGGTGCTGGGAGGCCACAGGACCCTATGGCGTCCCTGGTGCTGAGCCCCATAGGGAGGCACTCTGTCCCACTGCCCTGAGGCCTCAGTTTCCCTCTCTGCCAAATTAGAGACAGGAGCTGGCTGAACCCTTCAGCCAGGGGAGGCAGCTGTGGGGTGGAGAGGGCCAGGCTGGGCTCCCCGAGTCAAGGGCGTCCATTAGTGTTGGGCCAGCAGGCTGCAGCTGGTCCTGCTGGACAGAGGATACCCAGGGCCCCTGAGTTCTCGCAGAGGACAAGACTGTGTTGGGGACCCCCTCCTGGAGCCCCAGCCCTCCCAGCAGCCAGGGGAGGGGGGACCTTGTCTTTGGGGGAACGACTGGGGGAACAGCCCATACCAGGACACCCCTCTGTCCACCATGGGCTTGCTGTGACTCCTACGGCACAGCCCCTCCTGCGGTCCAGGGAGCCCGGTATCCGTCTTTAGCAACAGATCCGCACAACCCCGTCTCTCTGCGCCTTGTAGTGGGAAATGTGCTTGGGCTTGGGGGCCCTACATGCCCTGCCTGGCGAGGAGAGAAACTCATCCCCTCCCTCCCTCCCTCTAGAGACGCTACCTCCATTGATGAGGCCACGGGCCCCAGCTCCCCAGCACTGGGCCGCTGCCCAGTGACATCCACCCCTGGGCCGTGTCAAGGCTCCATCCTCCCTTTGTTCCATCTCGGGGACATGCCCGATGCTCAGGGCTGCCTCTGTCCCTTTGGGGTGCCTGGTCTCCCAACCCTGCTTCCTGCGTCGGTCACCTGGGTCGAGGTCTTAAGTCCCCTGAGCAGAGTCAGAAGCTCAGGGCTGGCCCAGGAGCTGCTCACAGGTCACTGGGCTGGGCCGGCCTGTGGGCCCGAAGGAGACTCAGAGGCCAGGGTTTGGGGAACAGATGGCCCATGAAGACCTTTCCCGGCCCGCAGCCCCGTGGGCTCTGTGGAGGACGCCCCCCTGTCCCTGCCTTGAAGCTTCCCTCCGTCCCCATAGTGTCCCTGTCCCAGGAGGGGCTTCATGCCCTTTCAGGGGGGGCTTCCAGGGCTGAGAGGGGTGCCCGGCGTTCGCGTTCGTGGCCCCCCTTTGACTGTTGGCAGAGGATGATCCAGCCCTGTCCGGCCACCCCCAGAGCTGGTGCCTGCCTCTGCGACTGCTGCCTGCCCCCAGAGCTTGGCAAGGGAGGAGCAACTGCGTTTCTGGTGACCGACTCGCTTCCGGTGGCTGGCGCTGGCTGCAGGTCCTGGGGTGGCCGGCCTCCCATGCAGCTGCCCCCGCACCCGCCCGCTGTGCCAGCCGCCCGCACCTCGCTTGCTGACACACTCTCTCTCTCTGTTTCTGTCTGTGCCTCTTTCTGTGTGTTCTGTAGAGGACGTAGCAAATTTAACAGCCAGTGATGTCATGAATCGGGTAAACCTGGGATATTTGCAAGGTAATTCTGCTCTGGCGGGTGCCGACCGCTGCACCACAGGGCTCACCAACCTTTCGCCGCCGGCAGCCTTGCCGTGCCCCGTCCCGGCCAGGCAGGTGGACGGGAGCTGTGAGAGCACGTCCCAGGTGTCAGCCCAGGCAGCCTTGTTGGGCAAAGTCTCGCATGTTGACAGAGTGTCCCTGGCTGGGCGTTGAGGACGGGCCTGAGGCTGAGGTCCGGGGCTTGTGCTGGTCAAGGTGCTGTTGGCCGCCAGGCAGAGTGGCAGCTGCCCAGCTCTCGGGCTCACTCTGGTGCTTCTCCTGCTTTGCTGTTTACGATGAGCCACCCTGGCCTACAGCCAGCCCCTCCCTGAGGCTGGCCCCTCAAGCGGTCTGAGGACCCCAAGCCCCTCTGCTCTCAGGAAGCACCCACATGGTCCTAAGCCAGGGCCCCGGGAGGAGCTTGGTGGAGCCTGGGCTGGACGCAGGGGTGGGGAGTCCAAGCCGCTAGGAGTGGGCAGGCTTTGTGGCTGCCCAGGCGAGGTGGATGGTAACCTTCATCCCCCAGCTGGGGCTCCACGAGGGGATTCTTCCTGCTCGGCTGGGGCAGAGCCACTCCACACCCCATTCTCTTCTGGGTGCTCAGCCGCCCAGCACCCCGTTTCCGCCAAGAACATGCTGCGCCCCGTCAGTGCTCAGAGCAGAGTCCCCGCCGGGGCACTCCCTGGGGTCCTGGCAGCCTCAGGGGAGCTCAGAGCCTGTCCCCGCTGCCACCCCTCTCTACAGGGTAACCCAGGAGCTTGAAGGGCCTCCTGAGCCCAGGCAGGTGTTAGCTCGGGAGGGACGTGTTTGCCAGGATGGCCTTGCAGCCGGAGGCAGGGCCAGGCCTGGAGCGGCCACGGAAGTAAAGCGTCAGCCTCTCCCGGTTCCATGCTTTTCCCTACAATGGCGCTCATGGAAGACCCTCGCTCTGCCAGGCACTGTGGCGTTTGGACCCGCAGCTAGTGGCCTTCATGAGCCTTCATGAGTGCGACGCCTGCATTTCCTGCTCCCCTCACCCGCCACGGCTTCCTGCGGCTCCTGCTGCGGCTCTAGGGCAGGCGCAGCCACGGCAGGCTTGGGGGTCAAGGGCTCACAGGACTCGCGCGGCACTCGGCCTACATGCCTGGGACGGTGAAGGTGCTGGGGCTTTGGGGCTCGTGGGCTGCACCCCGCTGTTTGGATTCAAGCAGACCCTAGGCCAGGAAGAGTCACTGTCTTTGCAGGGAGGGTGGGCAGCATCCTGGGGCCCCTCCAGCGTGCAGCCCCCACCCCACACACACAGCAGGAGGAGCCACCTCAGCCCCGATACACAGACCCCGTCTTCACGCCTCCTCACGGCTGCCCTGGGGGTAGGCACTAGTTACTCCCAGTTTACAGAGGAGGAAACTGAGGCTCGGGTGGCGGCAGCTCTGGCCCAGCGTAGGGGATTCAGGCAGGAGTGACCGTGGATGCCAAGGGCCAGGGCTCTGGAAGTTCTGAGGCCTGCAGGGTCAGGAAGCGGGTGAGGGGCAGAGCTACCACTGAGGCCTGGAGTGAAGGTTGGAGGGTCTGGGTGGAGGCATCAGGAAGCCCTGGGAACCAGGGGTGAGGTGGCCCTACCCCAGGACATTCACCAGAAGGGCCAAAGCCAGCCCCTGCCTCACCCCAGGCACACCTGCTGCCAGCCTTCACCAAACAGTGGACACACGAAGCTAGTCCTCTGTGCCCATCCTGGGCAGCCAGGACCAGTGCCACGTGACTGACCACAACCCAGCCCCTGGCACTGCAGCTGGGACCCAGCGTCCCCACCCACCACCCAGCCCAGCCTGGCTCGGCCCAGCTACGTGCTCTGCTCGCTTCAGAAGCGTGTGGTCCAGGCACCCCAGGGGGAAAAGCTGCGGCCTAGGGGCCAGTCTGTGCCTGCCGGAGTGAAACCAGCTGGTGGCCCCTTGTTTTTGGTGTCCCACTGGGTGCTCATCACAAAGCCAGTCAGGCAGCGGGGGCAAGTACTTACTGGAGCCGCCCACACCACTGCTCCCTGTACCACCTGCCATGCGGCCACCCCAGAGGTGTGTGTGGGCACAAGGGTGGGGAGGGTGTGCCTCCCTGCACAGCCTCAATGTGAGGCCCCTGGGCCTCTAGCAAAGGCCTGGGGAAGACCCTGCCATGGGTTTTGGGAAGAGAGTCAAACAGCTGTGAGGGGCAGGTGTCAGGCCGTCCCATCCCGCAGGCATGGACACAGAAGCTGGCACCAAGTGACCTGCCACCATGTGCGAAAGGCCTGAGGCAGAGCTGTCCAGGTCACCCCCCAGGTCCTAGCCTGTGTCCCTGCCTCCCTGGCAGCAGCTGTGCTCACACTGTGGGACCTCTGAAGCCCCCACTGCAGGGGGACCAGCGTGGCCCCCACCTGGCTGGCCAGCAGCCTCCCTGACTTCTCTCAGGGGCCATGGCAGGGCTGTCCCAAGGGGAGAGGACGGGCAGAGAGAAGGGAAGGGCGGCAGCCAGGGTGGAGGCTCCCTGGGGTTCCCGTGTCCTGGGTCACCTTTGTTCTCTGTCCTTGGAGTCCTGGAACAGGAATCCAGGAGGTTCCCTGAGACACCGTCAGATGGATAAACTGAGGCTACAGGCCCTTCCCTCCCGGCCAGTGAACCCAGGGCCACTGCTGGGATGGTGGGCTCTCCCTCCCTGTGCTTGGCCCCGCGGAGACTGTGAGATGACAGGCGGAGTTTCTCCAGGACTGTTTTCACCCCGTGGGACACATCCGCACTCCCACGCCATGAGCCAGACGCCAGGCTGTCTCCCATGAGGGGCAGGGCCGTGTTCTCAGAGGAATGAGCTGGGGGCTAGTCTGGGCTGATGCCACTTGGGACTTAAGTCTGAAGCAAAGGGCTGAGCACAGCGAGTGGGAGTGGCCTGCCCAGGGACGGCGGCAGCTGCAGGGCCCTGTGGGAGGGACGGGGCTGAGCAGCCTCTGGAGGCCGAGGTGGGTGTGTGTGAATGTGGAGGACGGTGTGCAGGTGTGTATACGAGTGAGTGTGCAGGGGTCTGTGGATAGCATAGGTATGGCTGGCTGTGAAGATCTGTGCAGATAGACACAAATGTGTGTGGGATACAGCGGTGAATCTGCAGGTGTGTAGGCGTGTGCGTGTGTGCACAGGTGTGTGCAGGTGTAGATTAAGGCATGCATGCGAGGTGAATAGACATGTCTATTGGTAGACGTAGGTGTGTGCTGGTGTGTACAGGTGTGCTTCGTGCCTCTGCTCAGGCCCACCCCTTTGCTGTGATGCCACCTGGCACCGGAAGGGGGTGCAGGTCGGAGCTGGCTCCCGGCTGCCCTCCTGGCTGCCCCCTTCCCAATGTGGGGATGGGCCCTGGCTGGGCTCACCAGGATGAGGTGCTGGAGCAGAATGGTCAGGAAGGCCGGAAAGATTTAGCTCATCCTGGAGCCCCCCACACCTCCGGGCCCCTGCGGAGTTGGGAGGGGGAGGGCTGGGGAGTGACGTCTGCCCGGCTGTGTCCTTTGCAGACGAGATGAACGACCATCAGAACACCCTCTCCTACGTCCTCATCAACCCTCCGCCCGACACGAGGCTGGAGCCCAGCGACATTGTGTGAGTAGCACCTGCGGGCTGTGTGGAGACCCCCCGAGCACCAGGTGGGCACTGGGGAGACGAGGCCACAGGCACCACAGTGGGGCTGCTGGGCAGGGGCTGCCCGGCCCACGTCCACTCCAGGGTTCCCTCTGCCCTCCCGCAGCTATCTCATCCGCTCCGACCCCCTGGCTCACGTGGCCAGCAGCTCCGAGAGCCGGAAGAGCAGCTGCAGCCACAAGCTATCGTCCTGCAACCCTGAGACTCGCGACGAGACGCAGCTCTGAGACAGCCCTGCACGGAGCTCAGGCCACCAAACCCAGAGCTTGGTGGGTCCTCAGGAAGGACGTGGAGGAGCGTGTGAGGACACAGTGGCACTAGCGTGACCCTGGGGATGCCACACTCTGCTCACCGTGGCTCCTGGGACTCCACCCTGGAAAGGAGCGCCTCGTGCGGGGGGAGGGCCAGCTCACCCTCGGGTACCTGCAGGCTAGTGAGGAGAGTTTTTTTAACCTATTTTTACAGACCGATGCAGTCCACGTCTCTTTACACAGATGTACCGTAACTCGTGACCAGGGCTGGCTGGGAGGGCAACGCGGGGACCAGACGCCCCGCAGGGCCCAGCCCAGGCTGTCCTGGAGGGTGGGGCTGGCTGGGGTGCATGGGGAGGGGAAGAGAACCCAGGAGCCCTGCATGGGCCACACCCAACTCAGAGCCAGCCTGAGCTTTCATGGCCAAGCGGCCTCACTTCCTTCTAGCCAAGGCCTGGGGCCCGGGGCTGCCGTGCTGCACTCTGTGGGGCCAGTGAGGGGCACCCTCTGCTCTTTGCTGTCCTGAGTCCCTTCTGGAAGTCAGAAGCAGCAAAGGGCCTGGGGAAGCCGGGCGTGTGTGAGGGGTGCATCCCCAGGTGCCCCAGAGGGCCCTGTTGCCAAGGACCTTTCTGAAGGTCACGAGCAGAAGCAGAAGACGCCATTTCCTCTACTTCACACTGAACTTTCCCGGCCACGGCGTCTGGGCGGCGTTTGGGTGGAAGATGGTGCATTTCCACGGACCGTTTTACACTTACCTTTTAAAGCAAAGCCTCATTTTCTAAACTCCTGACTTGTGAAGCACAATTCAGCCTCCGGGCTGGGCCATGTGGAGGGGAGAGGACCTTCTTAGCAAGGCGAGATCCCGGGCGGCGGCTGACATCGGGAGCGTCGCCCTGTGTCCTTTGCTGCTGGTTCCTTACTGGTTGGGACGGTCAGTGCTGGAACCTTCTATTAAACGGATGCATTCTGGAGGCATGAAGTTACAAGTCGCCCCGCTCGTGGTTCCAAGGCTCTCACCCCTCCCAGCCACCCCATTTTAAGGGTTAGAAACACCTGCTGGGGTCCCCACCCCAACCCCACAGGCAAGCTCCCATTCCCCAGGCAGACCAGGATAGTCCTTCCAAAACTCGGGAACCAAATTGTATTTGGCTACTGGTGACTGAATCCTGGTAGCCAGGAAACCCGTCTGGTGGTGGGGGTCCCAGCGTCCAGGAGGGCTCTCTGGTGAGCTGCCCATCAGCCTCACCCCTGCAGCCAGGCGTGTCCCTGGGGTGGGTACAAAGACCCCAGGCTCTGCCCACAGTGGCACAGAACTCATCTGAGGTCAGCAGCTGCTGGGGATCCCCTACACTGGGGGTCAGGGCTGCCCCAGGCAGGGATGTGTGTGTACCTCACCACATTCATTTCAGGGTACCCCAAGAGGCTGAAGGGGAAGGACCAAAAGGCTGAGGTGCAGCCCCTCCCCGGTGTCAGGGCAAACAACGCAGCTGCTAGAGGGGCTGGCCCTGGCCACACGACTAGCTAGTCCCTTACTCCTGGCCTGCCTGGAACCCTCCTGCTCAGAAGGTGCCCACTAGCCGTCGGTGGGGGACAGAGCCAGATATGTGTGGTCAGGAAGAGGCTGTGTGGATTCAGGGGGCCAGAAAGTCCCGGGACCTTGATGGAGTGGCAGGGGTTGATGTTGGGCTAGAGTGGCCAGAGCCTGTCCCAGCAGGGCTGGGGTCTATCAGGTTCCCGGGATCCAACCAGCGGGCACGCCCTGCCCTGCAGTCACCCTGCGGCAGGCAGGTCCAAGCCTGCCTCACCTGGGCGGCTTCTCGTGTCACCCACACCCTGGCCCCCAGGCAACAGGGGCTGCACAGCCCCTGCAGGGAGGAGAGGGGAGAAAAAAGCTGGCCTGGCGGCTGGGATGGGAGGGCCACAGCCCCAGTGGTGGCGGGGGAAGCTATAGCTCCTGGAACCCCACACTGGGAAGAGCTGGCCTCTCGGAGGCACCATGGGGGAGTCACATGACTTGCTGGGGATTGACTTGCGATGTGGACGGTGTTGCTGGAGTCCCTTGTGGCCACTCCACCACCGGGAGGCCGGGAGGCCTCTTGGCCTTTGAGCCTCTCTCCACGGGTGAGTGGAGTCCCCCAAAGAGGGCTGGGGGCTTGCTGCCCCGGCGGGGCTGGGTGGGCACTTTGGGCCTCGGAGAACATCAGTGGTCCATTCCCTCCCGCACGTCGGCGGCAAGTGGCAGCACGTTCATAATCTCCAGTAGCGAGGCCACTTCAGGTCCAGCCCTGGACATCTGAGGAGGAGGCGGGCAGTCCCTGCTCCTTCACTAACCGCAGAGGATGCCAGGCCCGAGGCCCCCTGCTCTGCCCGGAGCTCATGCGGGCAGCCATGGACACAGGTGGCACCCAGCGCCCAGTGGCCTGTGAATCCTCCCGTGGGCAAGGCTGGGAGCCAGGGGCTGGAACCAGGCAGGTCCATGGCTGTGAGATGCCAGCTGCCAGCCCAATAAAAGCTGCCTGAAGCATCTGGAACCTTCTGTGCTCTCCTTGGCCTCCATGTTCTTCATCTGCGGGTTTAGGGAGTACCTGGGGTACCTCTCTGCTTGTCCCGAGCCCACTCACCATCAGCCCCGGCTGGCACAGTCAGACATCGGGAAGGTGGGTCCCTGCTCCCCCAGCCGTCCTCGTCCACCATCACTTCTCCCAGCCTCATGTCCGGCTGACCCATCAAAGGTCCCCCTGCAAAGCCTACAGCAAGTGAAGCAGGATCTGAGCAAAGGTTGAGAAACTGAATTCCCTAAGTCATCACTGCCTAGAATGAGCTAAAAGAATTTGTTTTAATGCTTTACGGTAGAATTATTTCAAACACACAAAATTAGTGAGAAACCTGCTATTTTCCTTATTCCTTTTGTTTGTTTGTTTGTTTTAATTTTCCTTATTCCTCATCCATCTAACAAAAGACCTGTTTGGGCAGGGCGCGGTGTCTCATGCCTGTAATCCCAGCACTTTGGGAGGCCAAGGCAGGTGGACTGCTTGAGCCCAGGAGTTTAAGATCAGTGTGGGCAGCCGGGCGCGGTGTCTCATGCCTGTAATCCCAGCACTTTGGGAGGCCAAGGCAGGTGGACTGCTTGAGCCCAGGAGTTTAAGATCAGTGTGGGCAGCCGGGCGCGGTGGCTCACGCCTGTAACTCAGCACTTTGGGAGGCTGAGGCGGGCAGATCACGAGGTCAGGAGATCGAGACCATCCTGGCTAACATGGTGAAACCCTGTCTCTACTAAAAATACAAAAAAATTAGCCGAGCATGGTGGCGGGCGCCTGTGGTCCCAGCTACTCGGGAGGCTGAGGCAGGAGAATGGCATGAACCTGGGAAGCAGAGCTTGCAGTGAGCCAAGGTTGCACCACTGCACTCCAGCCTGGGCGACAGAGTGTGGCTCCATCTCAAAAAAATAAAAGAAAAAAGGATCAGCATGGGCAGCATGACGAAGCCCTGACTCTATCAAAAAATACAAAAAAAAAAATCAACTAGACGTGGTGGCATGTGCGTATAGCCCTAGGTACCCAGGAGGCTGAGGAAGGAGGATCACCTGAGCCGGGGAGGCTGAGGCTGCAGTGAGCTGAGACTGCACCACTGCACTCCAGCCTGGGCGGCAGACTGAGACCCTATCTCAAACAAAAAAAGAAAAAAAGAAAAAAGAAAAAGAAAAGAAAACTGTTTGCTCAAAATCAGAATACTAACAGTGTATTGGGTGACTCTCGCTTACGGGTGAGTAAAATGTAAGAGCAACATTAAAAGGGACAGGCGGAAGGAAGCGGGGGTCATCAGTTACAAGTTACCTTGTGACCTGAGAAGCAACACGGTGTAACTAACAGGTGGATTTGGATTAGCTGCAAACTCTACAGCAACCACTAAAATATATATACTTATTTTTGTTTTTTTTCTCTATCTGAAAGTGTAATTGATATGCTACAAAAGACAAGACTATGGAATCATATAAAATGCTTAACTGAAACCAGAGAAAGCAGAAAACAAAGGGAGATAGAAACTAAGACCAAGGGCAACAAATAGAAAAACAGTTACGAATGTGGCAGATGTTAATCCCACGAAACCCATTATCACATTACATGGCAATGCATTGGTCTAAATATACCAATTAAAAGACAGAGACTGGCCAGGCACGGTGGTTCACACCTGTAATCCCAGCACTTTGGGAGGCCGAGACAGGCAGATCACCTGAGGTCAGGAGTTTCGAGACCAGCCTGGCCAACATGGTGAAACCCAACTCTACTAAAAATACAAAAATTAGCTGGGCGTGGTGGCGGGCACCAGTAATCCTAGCTACTCAGGAGGCCGAGGCACAAGAATCACTTGAACCTGGGAGGAGAAGGCTGCAGTGAGCCGAGATCGTGCCACCGCGCTCCAGCCTGGGCGACAGAGCAAGACTTCGTCTCAAAAAAAAAAAAAGATGGAGACTAATAGTGGATTTGTTAAGTCTCCAAGTTATGGAGAGTCACATGACCAGCACATCAGCCCAGCTTCAGCAGTCCTCAGCCCTGTCCTCTTCCACCTCGCGCACACACCTCAGGCCTGGATGTGTGTCCAGGCTGGAGGGCTTTAAAGAGACCCCTCGGTCGCCCATGGTTTTATAGCAGGCAGTGTGGCCAGCCAGCTCCCCACAGCCCCAGCTCCTGGAGGGCCCCTGGGGACAGGAAGGTGTCCCACTCAGCAAACAGATGCTCTCTGTTGGAGAGGTCCAACCTGGTCAGGTGCGCAGGCTGCAAAAGGCACCCACGGCAGGTGGCACAGCTGGTTGGAAGCCAGGAAGAGCTCCTCCAGGCAGGTACCTGCTGGAAGGTGCCAGGTGACAGGTGGGTGAGGCAGTTGCCTGAGGGCGCATGTACCTCATTTGGTGGGAAAACTGAGGCACGGCCCCTTCATGGCCATGCCGCCTGCCAGGTATCTAGGCATTGCCTACCATGATCAGCCCCTGCAGTGACCCCAGGTCCCAGAAAGCTGCCGTCTCCGCCCCACCGCTGCCTGGATGGTTGTGTGTGAGGGCCAGGCTCCAGAGGCCCCCACCTTGCCTGCGTGGAAGGTCCACTGCGTGTGAGGAGCACTGAGGCACGGCCACTGCAGAGCAAGGGCTTCTCTGTGAGCAGAGGAGTCAGGCAGGACCGAGGACAGAGGACACTCAGAGAGCAGCCGGCCCAGCCCCTCCACTGCCCTGGCATTCCTGAAAGCAAGCTGCAGGGGGGCCACAGGGCACCAGGGGCAGTCCCACGGAGCCCCCAACTCACACACTCTGTCTACTGCTGTGACTCCCAGCCCGCCCCAGAGGACAGCAGCCAGGAGCCCTCCTGACCTCCGAGGAGCCCAGATTCCCGGGGGACTGACAGCGGCTTGGCCTCCTGTCTGCTGAGCACCGCCAAGCCTCAGCCCCAACGGCGGAGCTCTGCACTCTCCCAGGATGCCAGCTCCCATCCAGCTGTTCCTGGGCCGCTGCCGTCAGCTCAGCCCGCCCTCTGGCACCACCTCCACACGTGAGCTCACGCTCTCTCTGCTCCCCCTCTGAGTAGCTAAGCTTCTCCAGCCTTCCCCACGTGCCGTCCTCTCTTCCTCACCCCACTCCCAGCACCCCCAAAAACGCACCCTGAGTCAGGCTGACTCCTGGCCACTGAACCCGAAGGATGCTGCTGGTTCTCACCTCACGTGACCTCCACGGGACACTCACCCCACCCGCCCTCCACAGAGTCTGTCTTGGCGCTCCTGACTGTCCTCACTCGGCCCCAGACTACTGAGGTTTGCCGGTGCTGATCCGTCTACCAGCCCCTCCAGAAGTCCAGCCCCACTCAAGCCTGGAAACTCATCAGCCCACTCCACACTCCAAGTGGCTGTTCTGGGGGCACCTCCACTCCCCGTGTCCAAGCCGATCTGTCTGTCACACCCTCGAGACCCCATGTCCTCCTCGGTGTCCCCCACCCACACC